GGAATAAATAAAGACAATGTTATTGTAAATATTAAGTATCTTTTAATTTTTCTTCATTTACGACTGTTAAAATTGTTTAACTTTATTTCAAAGCAAAATCACAGGGTTTTAATTTTCATTGTATGTTTGTAAATAAACCATCCACATATATGGTCTGTATAGAATTTAAAATTAAAGTTTATTTCTTACAATTAAAAAAAATATCCACAACACTTTCAACATGAAATAAATATCAAATGGAAAGTGGTGAAAATTGCACGACCTAAGGAACAAGAAAATACTCGTAAACGTACTGCCTGAATGTGTTAATGATAGAAATTGGCGAATTGTTGTGGCATAAGTGCCTGTAAGTCTCATCCGTGAAAAAGTATTTTTACTGTTTGCCCTATTCAGACAAGGTTTATTTCAGCAGTTGGTGTTTACAACTCGATGGGTACTGAGAGTGGCGTTGTACGGTATCCTTACTAACTCGTACTGTGAACTCATTATCGATGTGTTCGGCGGGAGAATCTGGAACTCGTTTTCGATGTTTGTTTCCCGAGTCAGGTCTTGCGCAAAACTGTAGTGAGGTGTATTAGAGATGAAATAAGAGCAGGGAAGACACCGAGTCTCCTTGAAATATCTCTCGGCATATCCTGGCAGTTAGGGGAGGGCGTTCTTGAGACTTGAACAGTTCTCGTGTGCTAGAGATGCTTACATGTTTTGGTGTACTAATGATCTTTTGACTAACGTCTAAAACTTCTAAGCACTTTCCCTTCCAACTGTGTGGCAGAGACAGTCGTATGCCTTCAGAGTAGTCGATAAAGGGAACATGCATGTTCGTCAGTCGTCTTCTTCCGTTTTGCTTGCTCGTTTTGTTAATGTTTTGCGAATCTTTCGCGTCTCAGGATCGTCTTTGGTTGCCTTTTGTTTATCGCGTAGACAGGCAGACTCAAGATGCTCTAGAATTTTATCTGCTATATAGTTGTCAAGGACCTTGTTGCGGGCATGTTGTAGGCATGTTATTCGGTTCCCTTTTCATATGACAGCCTGCAAAATGCGCATGGGCCACTTGGTTGCACGCGGGTCGGCAGGTAATCAGCAACGTGAGCGACAGACGTGTGACTCGTGAAGCGCCGCGGGCTTCACGTGAAGGAGAATCTTTGGGCCTACGGTCCACTTCAAATATATTAACTCCCCAAGGTCAATACGGAAAGGAGAGAGGGGATCCGTCATCCAATCGGAAGCTTCGTTACGACTTTAAGTTTTGGTATTGAATCTCCCGATTAGATAAAAGTGTCTCCCTCTCCGAGTTTCTGACTTTACGGAGTCAATATATTGAAATCGGAAAATAGGCACGATTTTCGTGGAGTGGCGGGAATGCGTCCTCTTCGGCACCGCGACGTGGAGCCTTTCCGCGGTGGCTTTTAACGCCAGGGACTATGACGCGGCTTGCGTTCACAAGGAGACGATTCGCCGTGAATCATTTTTAGGCTGGAGCGGTGATGCCTTGGGTGGGCTGCGGTAAGCAGTCCGTGAAAAGTTCCTTCGAGATGCAAGGTATTATTTTATACTTTCTACGTGCAAATATGTTCTTATATTATCTCAAGTGTCTAGAAAACTATTCATTTCCTGAAGATATCGCACAATTCTAATATCTTCTACCATAGGCGATCTACTCAGTATCGCTTTGATGGTATAAATCACGGCGTCGCCTTGATATATCTCAGTGGTTTGTCCCAAAGCCTGCACCAGTATTTCATTGTTTCTTCGGTATCTCGAAGTACTTCTTGTTGTGCGCGCTCCACGTTGACGTTGCGGTAAATTTAGCGCTGGTTGTTTGGGGCCAGGCAGTTGTAGCGATACTGATCTTCTTGAGAGGTGTACCGTTTGATGTCGTTGACTGTGGCCGTTAATTTTTATTTCAATTCCTCATTGACTTCTGTTAGGGTGTACCTGTTAGTATACCCGTCCGGCTATGAAAAACATTAATGCTTGAAATGTATACATGAGTTCTTCCAAAATTGATATTCATGCACGAATATGACTAAAATTAAAGGACTTCAAATTCCAAACGGATCTCTTGATTTTTGGTGAGACTTTATATGCATTTTAAAATCAACTTTAAAAATATTCTCAAAAACATACAAAGTTTTTTCTTAAAAATAAAGAGATTATAAAAATGATGAAAGTTGAATTTTTATTAAAACCTCTCAATTTCTGAGAATTGCAAAAGTATGATTTTTTGTACTAAAGGTAATATTTCTTTTTTGAAGCCAGAGATGTTTCTGGTAACGGAATAGATTTATCAATATAGAATCTTTAAATTATATTAAGTAGAGGTTGCCAAATTGTTAGTGGTTTACGCGTAGATTCATATCAAAATGGGTCAATAAAAAAGATTTAAAATGGTTCAATTTTAACTGCTATTTTTGATGTGAAAACTGTTTGTGATTCTCCTCTTCAAATTCTCTCTTTTAATGAAACTATTAGAGATCTTCAAAATAAAAAAAAAATCATGAAAATATGTTTCTTTGGTTCCGTAAAATATTTCCAATGAAAATAAAAGCATTGTATTCATAGAAATGTTTTATAAATATTTTTTGAATAGTATGGAAAATGTTGAAATGTGGGTATGGAAGTTAAAGTATTTAAAGGTGAATAGAGCATTGTTACTATGTTGTAAATATCACCATTGATAAGCGGTTGCCTATGTAATTAACCATAGAAAGGCAATTTTATTTATGATGTGTTAAAAGATGTTATGAAATATAATATGCTGTCGTCCGAGTAGTTTGGTGAGTGAAGTTTTTCAAGATAAGGCTTAAATATTAGTAGTACGTACTAAGTTAGAAAATAACTACTATTGTAAATTTACGTAACCATTACAGATAATACAAGAAAATGTGTGATATGTCATAATACCGCTGATTTACTTTTAAACCACTGGTTTTACCGCTGGTTTATGTTAAAGGCGCGATTTTACAATAAAGGAATGTGGTACGTGGTTAGGTTTCATCGTGATGTAATGAAATATTTGACGCTTGCTTTTGAATGAGAGAGAGATTGGTAATATCATAAATCATTTCGAAATTGAGTGAGGACGATTGCGTGTTGCTTCCCCTTCAAACCAAATAAACTGGGAATTGCAGTTTTCTCTCTCTGCCGTTTCAGGGAGTAGCGTTCAGATGCGCTGTTCCATGCGAATTCTTTCGAGAGAACGCGCACGATAGTGTAACGAACGGGCAATAGTCTGCTCCGTGTGCAAACAGAGAGGAAAGAAGCATGCGTTTATGAGATTGGAACACAATATTGCTGCCTTCGACATTCTCTTTCTCGGGGACGTTTGCTGCCATTTCGTTTTAATTACAAAAAAATGAAACGCAAGGATTGACATTTATATATAATATTCGGAAGACAATTCGAATATTCAACCGGACCGTTTTGTGCGAGCATCTCGACACAGCTACTGAACTCTTTCATAGAGGTACTTCTATTGCGATTTTTTAAAAACATGCCTTTTGAAGTGAATGAACGCTTTTATCAACCTGGAGAAGAGCAAACGGACGCCATAAACAATGCACACGTGCATATTAAGCAGAACTAATAGAAACATCAAAGTTTGACCGAACACAAATCTCTGTGTAGTTTAAATTTTTCGTGTAATCAACATTAACATTTTATATTGGAATACAAAATGCAATTTATTCATGAATTAACATGTCAACTGAAATAAAAAAAAACTCCAAACAATAAAGCTCATTTCATTTGTATCTCTTTCATTTGCAATTGCAAAGACTTCCAAAACGCTGCGTCCGCGGAAACCTTCGCCGAGGTTCGACTCGGCGTCCGTGTGATCTCCCAAATCCGCGCCAGTCGCGCCAACCGCGAGGCTCTCGCGGCGAAAAGCTATTCCCCGAAGGGATTTTTTATTGCTTGTTTCGCGCGGCGTGGCGCTCCGTGGCGTGGCGCGGCGTGGCGAGCCGTTGCGCTGCGCTGCTGAGTCGCGCGTCGTCGTGTCCCGCTATGCCAGGCTCCGAAGTTCACGCGCGCGCCGCCGCCGGTGCGCTGTCTCGGAGTCCCCTGCGGGAACGGCGTGGAGGCCGGAAGGTCGGGCGGGGCGGGGGCGGGCGGAGCGCGGGGGCGGGACGGGAGCGGCTCCGGGGAGCGAGTGCGGAGCAAGAGCGTTGCCGATCGGATCCGAGTGCAGCCGCACCGCACCGCAACGCGCCGCGCCGCGCGCGCGCGCAGCGCGCGTCGCTCGCCGCACCCGCCGAGCGCCGCCTCCGCTCACGCCTCGGCCGGCCCGGCGTGGCCGGCCTCTGGCCCGGCCGCCACCACCACCGCCACCGCCGCCGCCGCCGCCGCCGCCGCCGCAGGCCACCCGGAGGTGACGGGGCCGCCTGGCGATGGTGAAGAAAAGCAGCGGCGACGACGGACAATTGGGCGAAGATCAACGACACGCGGAGGTGCGAAACTAAAAGCGAAGGAGAAAGAATAATGCGGGAGGAGATGAAAAACAAGAGATTCTGCTTAGTTCGACATAGGTGACATGAACGAATCAAAATTGACATGGAAAATGAGAATAGAAGACGCACGTGCGAAGAAAAGGGTAAAAGAAGCCGTGGAAAGGAATATGAGGATTAACACAACTGCTGTAACCAGAAGCACTGAATTCTAATATTAACTTTTCAAATTTACCAATAAAGAGAAAGTACGCAATAAGTGGGTCAATACCATAAGAAACTAGGGTACAGAGACTATGACATACCAATGACAAATTTTCATTCGCCAGGGCACTAAGGTCAATGATCCTTTCAACAGGATTTCTTGTCTACTCTTTAGTTTTCAGGTACTTCACACTGACCTCTGGTACAGTGCAATAGAAAAATAGAAACGGGAAATTCAAGGCAAACACGCGGAATGAAAGCTAAGAAAAAATAGAACAGCGAATACAATTCCAAAATCGGTCGAAGTGAGGCGAAACCGTAGAAAACACATCCTCCTAAATCCTGTCCTACCTGCAGCGGTGTGCTGGAAGCGGAGAGAGATGTGAATCCAACAATGTCGCTGAAGTAGATGGTTACGCTGTCGTAGGTCTCGGCGATCACTGACTGGCCCAGGATCAACTGGTTGGCCACTGACCTGCACAATGAAAAGAAAAATTGCGTTAAAACATTATTTGCTATTAAATCTTCTACGTATCGTTACCGGCATTGTATTCTAAAGTTATTTTTCTTGTCTCCTCTGCAAAGTTATCAGGAAATGTTTCGGGTTTTAACTACCTTTACGAAAACTCTGAAAGGTCACGGATGGAATGGTACATACGGAAATTAGATCTTGGACAATTACTTCATCAGGAGGTATAGCATGCTTATAAGAGTTCATGTTAGTGGTGGGTCGTCATATAAAACGGTGATTCACAAAATAATGATAATGATGCGATCCATGTAAAATAATAATAATAATAATAATAATAATAATAATAATAATAATAATAATAATAATAACAATAATAATAATAATAATAATAATAATAACAATAATAATAATGTTTTATTAATGGCAAGGTGCAGGCATAAGTCCTGATCTTACGCTCGACCACTAACGAGACGGTTCCCATAAGAAATTTATTTTGACGAGCTTATTTTGACAATATTCTAATTGCAAAAGACCATATTTCGAGAAAATTGAGTGTAAAATTTCATTATACAATGACTTTTTTAATTATGAATATATTTTTAAACTAACGGTGCAAACTTCTTAGATATCATGTAATAGTCATAAGTAGGTATTTGCAGTAGTTTTTAAAGTCTCTTTTTAATGTTGTAGAAACTGAGATGGCAAAAATGCAATTGAAACTTTGTAACTTTAAATTTGACTCTTCACAAAAGCTACAAAACTGTCCATAAAACTGTGTGAAACTAACTTTTTAACCTTTTTTGTGTAACCTAACTTTTTAAATATTAAAAAAAAGTTTGTTACTACTTCTGATTAGAGGGTAGAGTAAATAAGAAATTATTGTAACACTTATCTTGAATTATATAACATAATGGTTTGAACTGCAAAATATCAGTGAATTGTAACTCTATTTCAAGTAGAATTTATTTACTATGTGCGTTGCTGATTAGCAATTTTGATCTTGCAGTGTATTATCCTCCTCTTGAACGCAGGACTGCTCGGGTACAGAGTACATTCAGATGTATGATGACACACCTCCGTTATTTTTTTAAGAAATACAGGGTTGCATTTGTCGCAGTTGAGTTTTTTATTCTGTGGCCCACATGAATCCTACAAACTAATCAACTCGGATGTAATATTATTGCATGATTAAATACAAATATATATATTTTGTGCTAATGATGTCAACCAACTCCGGTAGGGATGTTAACCCTTGCAACACCAAATTATAAAAGCTCCCGCGCATTGCCAGGAGGGGAGATCCGGGGCTGATCACTAAGATTTTGATTCTATTGATATCTTTGTAGAATTTGTTAAGTTAATACATTGATGTAACGAATAGTATACCAGTATATTCATTTAAACAAAAAATATTTAATTTCTGATTCTGTTAGTGGAAAACTTAACTTTCTCGCATCAATATTTGTATTTAATGACAAAATCTGTTACATTTTGATGTCAAATAAAGGACGATGTATATTCACAATATTGTATTAAACTTTATTACATTCACATTTAATGTACTAAAATATTATCTGCCGGTTCAGATAGTACAATTTTGCCAACAGCCAAAATCGCTGAAATAACTCAGATAATAACTAACAGTTTTTGCACATTTCGAAAAATCAGGGATGTTATGCCTAAATCTACGCCATTTTAAAAGAGTTCTTCAAGTTATCCCAGACAAAATTTAATTACAAAAAAATTGAGCAATTTTGAGAAAATTTTGAAAATGCTATGGCTTTAAGTACATTACCCTTAAAAATCAAAATGCCTGATAGAAACTCACAGGGCCTCGTGTTCGTTCGTTCGGGAAATATCAATTTTAGAGATCTGAAATCGTCTGAACGTATATAGCAAAGCATTATAGTAAATTAGGCTAGTAGTTATGCTAGTTCTTCAAACAAAGGGCTTGGTGATCTGAGTCCTTGCAGAAAGGACAGCAAGTACAGAGTATGTTCCAAATATTAGCCCTTGCCGCACCTCAAAAATTGAAAATATTTTAACTCAAACATTCAGATAATTATTGTAATATATAAATAAATTATTTATTTTATTGTTTATATTTATTGATTATATATTTATAGAAACGCAAGCATATTTAGTGCTAAAATGTATAAAATTTTCAATCAATAATATTGCAATTTATTCTGAGATACACTGCGGACCCATACGTGGTAATCGGGTGCCAGTATGGCATTTCTATACCACTGTTAATAAATCAAGACAAAATATCGTCGGTGCACAAGAAAAGTTACACATCTTCAATTTGTCAACTGTCAGGGCTGCGGTGCAATTCTGAGCGGCGGCGTTTATTTCATGGAGACAGAAACAGAGTTTAATTTTATGATACTCTGTCTTGTAAATTATTTTAATGAAATTTTTAAACATACTATTTCTAAAGGCATTTCTTCACTTATTTCTAATTTGTTGATTGTTGACACTTTTCTTGTGCAACGCCGATATTGTGAAAAGTTTCAACCTATTATCTTAATATTTACGAAAGTGATGATGCAGTAATTAAGTGCATCGGGTGCTATTTTATTCTGCCAATAGTAGATGCGGATCCATACAAATATCCAAAGATTGATTGGCGATATCTAATCGTAAACAAGAAAATTCAGTGAAATTATATTGATAAAAGGCTTCACTTGCTACAGCAAAAAATTATAAAAATCGATTGGATACATTATTCGTATCCCAGCTTTGAATGCCTTCATCAATGACTGAGAATAGTGAATCAGGGTTAAAGAACTAGGTGATTCCATAATCTAATTAATTACAGGTCTCACACGTAAACCGCAATTGAATGAGGGACGTATCTGTGATGTTTTGTTCCGAAATCAACCAGCACGCCGCGGAAACAAAAAGCTTTGTAGCGTGCCTGAAAAGCCTCGTTTCCGCCGGTGCAATGCAAACGCAATTGCAGCGACGCCCTCGCGCGGCGATGTGTGTGTGTGTGGGGGGGGGAGGCGGTCGGAGGTGGCAGGCCGGCGCGCAGGAGGGTGCTGACAGCTGACCGAGACTGCGCTCGCTTCGAGAAGTAATCGCTTGGAAACTGCGAATTGCGAATGAGGGCCGTCGCCGCTGCCGCCGACACCGATACGCCGGTTCCTCGAAAATTGTCCATTAACACCCCTAGAAACTCAATCATGCGTCATCTCCCCCACTCTTGCGCCCTCTCGAGACCGCTTCGCAGCTTCAAACAGCGACCGCTGGCGATTGACTCGTTCATGGATTTGCCGCGGGAAAACTGACATGGTATAACGTTTTCTACAAAGAGGAAGGTAATACAATAAAGCAAGTAATGCTAACAAAAACGATTCGTTTAAACCCGGAACTAAGCACTAACTAAAATTAACGGTTCGTTTAAACCCAACAACATTGGAATAAAGAATGTAAATAGCTTCAATTGCGTACGTGTAGAAAAACATTGAAATAAACGATGTAAATTGATACAATGGCGTACGTGTGGAAAATGAAAAATTATAAGCGCTTGAGAGGAAATAAAAATATTTACCTTAAACATGGCGTACTAACATAGTGTAAAGCACGGAAATGAATGAAAATACAGATTCTTCTTCAAGGGAGGGAAAGAATAAAAGGATAGCGAGAATCTCCCAAACAAAGCAATGATGTTTTTAAGCAAACAGTTCTTAATTTAAAAAGTATAATAAATTCGTATGCTGTCAACTGCAGGAATTTCAATGTTTTAAAGTTACTTTGTCATCATTTTTATGATGACAAAGAGATGAGATGCCAGATTCTGTCATCGCCACAAAGTGTACAATTATCATAAATGTCTTTTTTGCCTCGTAAGCAGAGTATAAGCCGTTAGAATAGAGGAAAATATGGGTTTATGGCGCAATTTTTTTATTTTATCGCACTTCGTAAGAAGAGAAAATTATGAAATCGTGCGCCGGAAAACAGCGGATTTTCGGGAGAACTCTTACTCTCGGGCCCTAGTAACGAAAAAAATGCATAAATCCAGTTGCTATACAGTATATAATAAATTACTTCCACTAACATGTAGTGTATCCTAAATTCTTATTTCGTGTGTCTCTGTTACCAAAAAGTCGATTGACGGCCAAATGTCTGCCTGATTTTCTGTCTGCCTGATCCTGTCTTCCTACTGGCCTACCAGTCTACCTACCTGTCTGTCCGGCTACCCGTCTGCCCGTCTGCCCGTCTGCCCGTCTGTCCGTCCCTCTTTCCGTCCGTCCATGGTCAACGCTAGAACCGAAACCATTCAGATTTTCTCCTAAATTGATATCTCCCGATTCATCTAAACAAACTCGAGGCTTTGGGAGTTTCAAACAGTTATTTTGATTTTTGAAGGCACTTTACACGAAGCCTCAAAATCATTTTCAAAATTTTCTCACAATTTAGCACCAATTTTTATATTATACTTGTATTAAACGCTTAAGAGAATGATGTAGGTCACATATTCATTGAAATCCCTGATTTTTGTAAATTGCAAAAGTGCATTATTTTTTCCGTCTTGCTACAACTACAATATTGAAGATTGAGGTTTTTTCCTTTATGAAATCTGTTCTTTAAAGAAAAAATCTTGAAATAAGGTCTTGTTGAAATTTTCGAAAAATTGAGAAGTTTTTGTGATTCTTTGCGCGAAATATAGGCAATTTTAACGTTTTAAACCCTTTTTTTTAAAAAAAAACTCTCCAATTTTGTTTCAATTTCCCCCACGGATAGCAGAAAAAACGGGACGCTTAAAAAATAGCGCGTGTCTCATTTGCGTTGAACTCTCTGAATATTCGAAAATTGCATATTTAGAATTAATGCCACAAAATGCTGTTTGTATCACCACTAGTTTCTCATGTATTTTGAAAACTATGCATAATTATAAAAAAAGCTCTCGGCATGAGACTCTCCAAAAATGTTTTTACTTTTCATATATGAAGTATAAAGCTATTAGAAAACATATGTGCCACTTATTTTTGAAA